TATGTTGGCATCATAACTTGGCATGAGTATAACGGTCTTTAAAATATATAAGATTTGCTACATGCTTCTGCTGAAAATAAAGAGGTTTAAGTTTATTTTTATTTGTACTACCCCAAACAATGTTTGCACAGTTAATGTGACAATGAATAAATGAGTGGTATAATTGTACTATAGTTCATTTATTTAAAACATTTCTTGCTTTGTACAATACATATCTTAATTACAACACTTATCTTAATTACGCCCTACGGGCATTTATTTTTCAAAGTTATGTTCGAAGTGTCTTTTAAACGTTTTTTAAACGTCTTTTAAACGTTCTTTACGTAAGTATGTTCTATGTTTTGTACTGGGCGCTAACGCTGCTTGTTCAAAATTATTCTAAAAGCTTTTAGTCCGTTATTCAAAACAAATCAGAATAAATACTTAACTAGATATTCAAATAACACCTTTATACAACTCAAAAGTTATTTTGCAACAACTGAGTTTTCAATTTGTATTAGATGACCAAAGGCATTGAATAAAATACTTATAAACGAGCTTAAAACTCTTACGTTGTTTAATGAGTTTAAGGGTAAACCTTGACAATTATTACTAAAGAATGATCACAAAACTATTTCTGGGATTAAAATATACCCTTATGATTGATCTATCATAAATGAAAAATATATTAATTTTAAAAATGATTGAGAAAAATGCTCTTAGTAACTTTTTAAATTGATTTGTGTCTTTGTTTGACATGTGTTGTCATTCTTTTTATTTTTGATCCTTAGACTTTAGCTTAGTGTTCTGAAGTTTGATATTTAAAAAAAAAAATTAAAATTTATGATTTTTCAATAAATAAAAATTAAATAATATTAACATGATTTTAGAAAAATTAAGCCATTAGAGCTTCTAGCTATTTTTAGTAATAGATGTTTTATTTATTTTACCACTTTTATATTTATTTTTGTTTACATGGTTACAAACCACGTTTATTTTTTATAGTTTACTTTTTTTATTTATTTTTTATTTTATTTATTTCATTATTTATTTTTTCTTATCTTTTTTTTCTTTTTTTTTTCTTATTTTTTTCTCATTTTTTTATTATTTCTTATTTTTAAATTAAAATTTATTTTTATGGAATTTATGAAGGGGCTTAGCAATAAGACAAATTAGTTTTCTTCTTGCTCCTGCTACCTATATATCTTATTTGTAACTTACTGAATGTATATATTAACACGGCAAAAAAAAAATAATAATAATAAAAAAAAATAAAAATAAAAAAAAATAAATAAAGATTATGGGGTTTGGCGATTTAAAAAAAAAAAGCCTTCTTCTTGTCCATGCTATTTGTTTTTATATTGGACTACGGTTGAAATAAATTTATTCTTCAAAAATGGAAAAAAGGAAATGTAGTTTTCCCGCAGAATAAGTTATACGAGTGCTGTTTATTTTTGATTAGTTAAGAGCTGCAATAAAATGATTCGCCGATTTTTTTTTTAAAATTAGGTGCCCAAAGAGGTCCTTACGGTCTTATAGCAGAGCACCGCGGAAGAGCATTTGAAAGGAAGTTCACCCCTTTTTCTTTACCGATATTATAAAACATGTCCAGAGGTGGCGTTGAACCACGGTTCTCTAGACAAGCGCGCTAACTATAGTGTTACGACTGCTCAATTTGAACCCGATGTTTTTGATTTTGATAGGTGTTTGTTTTTTGTGAAACAAAATTAGGTTTAAAGACAAACTTATGCACTAAACTCTTTCCGAAAATAAATTCAAGCATACTTTTTCTGATATATGATGTAAACCACATCTAAAAAAATTATAATTCTTTCAATAAAATATTGTAGTGAAATATTTATTTTGAGATTCCAGAATATAAAATATTGTCCCACATTGAATCCCACCACATCCCTGGTAAAATTGCTCTCAATTTGTTTCTTTCGGCAACGGCGCTGTTCTTCAAGGTTTGTGTTTCGGAGTTATAAAGTTGAAAGAGGTTTGCAACTCTAACTAAAAGTAGCTTCCTAGGCTGTAGTGGCCTAAGGAGGTGAATTAACCTTAAAAAAAAGGTAACTACAAAAGTCAAAAAAGTGAAACAACTGCCTTAATTTTAGAACAACTTTCACAACTTTTAGGAACCATAAGCTCCAACATTCAGCATTTAACTAGTGTTTGAGCTAACTTTCAGACACGGAGAAAACTCAAGACATTTATATGTTTATACTTATGTCAAATTAGGATGCTTTGTAAAAAACTGCAATGAATGGAGCTCCAAAAACATTTGTCCCCTTGTAATAAATGTGAGACCAAATAGTTGATAAAATAACTTTTTCACTATTTTTAACTAAAATTATATTCATCGAAAAGTTTTAAATTTTATAGTAAAATTCATTTACGTTCAAAATATTATATATAAAGTTTGAACCCTCTCAATTAGAGGGGGTTGCAAATTTTTTATGGTCATAATTTTTCAACGCTAAAACATACTATGAAATTCACTAATATTATGAAATTCACTAATATTATGAAATTACTATGAAATTCAAAATTTATCGATGAATATAATTTTAGCTAACAAAAGCAAAAATTTTTTAAATTAACTTGTTGCTGTTATCAAAAAGGTATATTAGAATAACTATATTCTTCGCGCATTTAAGTTAGGAGGGGAGGGGGGCGATTCAGTTTAAGGCTTTTCCATATTTGACATCAGTATAAAAATATAAATGTCTGAAGTTTGCTTCATGTCTTCATTTAAAACAAACTAAAAACTTACATAAAAAAAAAATAAAAAAATTATCGAAAAAAGAAAATGTTTTAAAACTTCATTTTTTTATACCTTCAAAATTCAGATTGCAATTTTTCGGAAAACTTATTTTTTAAATTAGTAGAAATTTAAAGTTTCAAAGGCATAAGCAGGGAAAAGTTAATCTTAAAACTGGGCCTTTAGTCAAAGAGGGCAAAATTTTTAATAACAATAAAAAAATTTTAAGCAATAACTGATTCTAATTTAAGGCTTTTTTTTAAAAAATTTACACCCAAAATATAAAAATAAAGTAGGTTAATTAATTAACACCTTTTTTAAAAAAACGCAAAATACGAACTTTATTGACTAAAAAATTATTGCTTTATAATCAAGTATTTTTTTTAATACTTATTTACTGCTTTATTATAATACTTTATTTTCTTTTCTCATTATTTTTTTAATATAAACTGAGTTATTTAGGTATACTTGTTGAGAGATTAAATATATCAGCTGATTTATTTAGAGATGCAGCAGGGCATCCATCAACTGATGTCATAGATATATGCTAACTTAGCCATAGGTACATAAGATATATGCAACAGAAATTAGATCAACTAATTTAGCCATAGACACAGCAGTTTACACTGTACACTGTACACTGATGTACACTGCTGTGCATATGGTTAAATCAATTAATGTTAGTTCTACTGTATATGTTATATAGCTCTGGCTTAATAAGCATATACTACACTCTACATTGTACATAGAACAGAGAGGTTTTTGGTTCTATTAATTTAAAGAAAAGCCTTCTTTAAAAGCCTTTGCTTGTTATATTTTTTTTGGTCTACTTTTTTATACTTTTTAAACCAGGATATAAAGTGTAAACCAAACAAGCTTTATATAAATAAACAAATATATATATATAGTATATATATATATATATATATATATATATATATTATATATATTTATATATATATATATATATATATATATATATAAATATATATATATATATATATATATATATAAATATATATATATATATATATATTATATATTATATATATATATATAAATATATATTTATATTATATATACATATATATATATATATATATATACATATATATATATATATATATATATATATATTATATATACATATATATATATATATATATATATATATATATATATATATATAAATATATATATATTATATATATATATATATATAAATATATATATATATATTATATATATATATATAATATTATATATATATATATATGTATATATATATATATATATATATATATATATATATATATATATATATATATACATATATATATATATATTATATATATATATATATACATATATATATATATATATATATATATATATATATATATATATATATATATATATATATATATATATATATATATATATATATATGTATATATATATATATATATTATATATATATATATTATATATATATATATACATATATAATATATATATATATATATATATATATATATATATATATATATATATATATATATATGTATATATATATATATATATATACATATATATATATATGTATATATATATATATATATATATATATATATATATATATATATATATATATATATATATATATATATATATATGTATGTATATATATATATATATATATATATATATATATATATATATATATATATATATATATATATATATATATATATATATATATATATATATATATATATATATATATATATATACAGTGATTATTAAAAGTATATATTTATATATACTTTTATGTATGCTCAACTCAATTCTACTTATAAGTAGAATTGAGTTGAGCATACATTGACTGACTTAAATAAAAAGAACATGGAGAGAGTGTACATACATCAATTAACTTTGGTAAGGAGAATGTGCAGATATACTGCAGTGTACATCGAACAACTTTAATATAGAAAAAAAATGAAGTACAGTGTAAATATACCAAATGACTTACACAAGTAGAACATACAGAGGTGTGTACATACATCGGCTGATTTAAATAGGAAGAACATGCAGGGAGTACACATATAATAACTAAGAGGTTTTGATTGTTTTTGATTTGTTTAATATTAGATTGGAAAGCCAATCTAACATTAAATAAAAATTCTTTTATTTAAATTATCTTTTTAACACTAGTACTTTGACACAAGCATACGGCACAATAAATTTCAAACTAAAGTTTTACTTAGAACCACTACTATTTCTTTAAAGGTATTCTAAATATTTTAATTAAAATATGTTGATATATTCACTACAACTTGTTATTTTTCTTTTTTTCTACATACTTTGCAAAGGTTTCTGCAACCAAAATAGGAAAGATCAACGTTGCATCACCAAAAATCTTCACAGGTGTTGCATTAACTTTAATTTTACCCCATGAAACAGCTTCATCAGGACCAGCTCCTGAGTCTGAACCATCATATTCACAAGAAGTATTAATATATAAACTAAAATCTGCACCATTTCTCATTAAGTTTGCATTACATATATGGTGTTTTATTAGACCACCTCCAATAATGATTTGACCAGTGTTTTTAGCATAAACAGCTAAATTGTTAATTTTTCTTATATCTTCAGCAATATCAATTCGAAGTCCAGGATGGCGATAACTATGGAAGTAAATATTATCGCCAATAGATCCATCAGTAATGGCTGGGCTAAAAACAGGTATATCGTTTTTATATGCCCAATAATATATTGATTTTGGGTTATTAATTATTTTTCCCATTTTAGCAATCATTTTTGAGGGAGTCCAGTTAAAGTTATTTTTATTTTGCTCTTCTAACATTTCATCTAATATCGGCTGAAACCATTCTTCAAAGAGACAATAATTTGTATTTGGCACAATCAGGTTTCCAGTTCGATTAAGTCCCTGTCTTCTTAATGACTCTCCCTTAAGGTTAAAATCTCCTAAATATGTAGGTGCCATACATTTAATAAAATCTTCTTCTATACCTCCAGCTGTTGTTACAAGAACATCAACTAATTTATGTTCTACAAGATAACGGATGATATCTCTGATGCCTGAGGAGGCCATGTTTGAAGTGTACCCTAAAAAAATTGTGCAATTTGTTTTTGGCCTGTACATTTCATCTATAAATTCACTAACACTAACTGGTAACTCATCGCGAACATGTAGCATTTTTAAGATTTCTTCTACTGCTCTTCCAAAGTTTAATGCTTGAAAACCAGTTCTTTTGTAGCTTAAAAGTATTTTTTCATAACAAATACCCTCATTAAAATCAAAACCTTCAACAGAAAGACCATCAGAATAATCTACACTTTTAATAAAAACAGCATCTTTGGCTGTTGAAAGAGGAAGTTCACCAGATTTTATTTCGCTTTCCATTATTTTTATATCACTTTAAATTAGTTAATTATCAATGAATTTGTCTATGATACTTTCGTCCGGACTACGGCAACGCGTCCCGAATAAAGTAGGTACATGTCCGGACGACGGCATAAGCGTTCCGTATGCCGTCATGATTTTGAGTAGAGAAGCTGTTTTTTGCCGACATAAAATAATTAAAATCATAGTCAGCAAAAAACAAATAAAAAAAAAAAGACATCGTTAATTGACAATTGCCGTGATTCATTAACTGCATTCTGAATTTGCCAAATAATTTTAGATTATAGTTTTTGTTGTTGGATTATAAAAACACCTACGACCCTTTCCTCTTGAGACAGCTTTTGAAGACGCGTCGTCCAAAACCGTAAGAAATCTTACGTCGTTAAGTAAGATTTTACGGAAAACACTAAATCCAATCCTTTCAAGTGCAATCTAAATTTTACTGACCGATGCGATCTCCAACGGAAATATAGTTTTAACTTTAAAACAAAAGAAACTCTGAGATTTTTAATAACATTTGTATTTAATATTTATTATTAATCATGTTGTTATTAATAATATTTTCGTCTAATATCAATTTTGAAACATTTATATCACATTGTAAATGCCGTAATCGGGTCTTGAATTTTTAAAAACTGTTCAAACAGCACTTTGACGGATTGGGTTTAACGTTTCCGACTTTTACGGTTAATTAAACTTAAATCTATTGCGTTCCGTATCACTAAATCACACATTTTTAAAAAAATATAACGTTCAAATTCTAAGGATAATAAAAATAATATATAGCAAGTCGTGACAATTGATTAAAAAATCAAATGTAAAGCACAATATCAAAAGACACTGAGTCTGATGACAAAAGACATATTCAAAAAAAATTTTAGTCGGATTGGTTTGTCGATTTTGGTTGTAATGACAGAGGTCTATCAACAGTTTATCAAATTTAATGCTATCCAGCAAGCTTTAAGTTTTAATATACCATAAATTACTTAAAAAGCTACGTTATCGTCACGCTCGATTTTCTAATATAGACAACCCATTTTTTTTTAGCTATTTTAAACTCACAAGATGCAGCATATTAGATGCAATTAAAATAAAACAAAATTTTCTAAACGTTTACTAAATTTCCACCAATCGTTGTCTTCAAAAATGCTAATTTTCAATACATCTTAATCAAGCAATTATTAATGTATTAATAAGACAACATTTTTAAATTTTACCAAATATAGTATTAATTACTTTTAAAGTTTTTTCATCAAGAGTTTATAAAATATGTTTAAAAAAGAATATTTAAAATGAAATGGAGTTTCTTATTAATACTTTTACCCGAAATGGACACTCATATAAACTTTACTTATATGAGTGTTATAATTTATTGTTTTTTTTATATTAAATAATTTTCAAATTAATCCTGCTCCTTTATTTTAGATAAAAAGTGAAATAGAGTAAAATTATTTTAAAAAAGAATGAAAATAAGAATGAAAAGGAAAAAAGAACAAAAATGAGTTTAAATTTTTTTTTGATGACTACAACGTATTTAACATTTTAAAAAAATCAATGAAATCAAAAAATCAAGAAATGAATAGAATAAATTCACCTTTAGTTGGAGTATATCACCTTTAGTTTGGAGAATAAATTCACCTTTAGTTTGTTACATTCAATATACATTTAACTGGCTTTTTATTGAATAAGTTTTTTTTCAATAATTTTTTTCTTTAACCATGGAAATTGTCAGAATTTCATTAAAAAATGAAATATTTAATATAGATAAGTTTGATTTTGAATCACGTACAAATGTAACTTGCACTATAGACGTAAATCTCCTATCGGCGAATTCATTTCCAGAAAGACTTAAAAAGCGTATTGAAACTATTGAGTCGAATGGATATGACAACATATACCCATATAAACTTATTAAGTCGAATGGATATGACAACATATACCCACGATTATTTCACAACTGCGCCTCATTCGCAATTCTATCAGGTATGATCTGCCGAAAATCAATTTGCGATTCACATGTTCCAGAGCCCTGATATGATATGAATGATATGAATGAAAAGAAATTAATGTCAACCCAATTTTTAAACAAGGCAGGAAGTAGAACCGAGCTAATTATAGAAGGTATTATACTCGAAAATTATAGAAGGTATTATACTCGAAAAAATCATAAATCACTGTCTTAGCACTGACTTAATATTCAAAGAACAACAAAAGTTTCTTTATAGTAAAGGATGCACATTCATCTTTCTTGAAACTCAGGATATACCAACAGAAGCAATGCATCAAGGCTACGCCACTGATATTATCTTCACTGGCTTTGGAAAAGCCTTTGATAAAATTCCACACATCAGACTTTTGCACAAACTTGAAGCCTATGATATAAATGGCTTGGATAACAAACTGGCTAAAAAATTGTTATCAATAAGTTAAAATTGGCAAGCATAAATCTTATTGGAAACATGTAACAAGCTCTGTACTGGGTCCACTTCTTCTACCAATTTTTATCTTATATATAAACAATCTTTCGAACTATATTACTCATCTTTCAAGGAATTAAAACATCCTATAAAGAAAAGAAGACGTTATTATTTATTGTTATTTATGCTTACATATTGTATACAATATGTATGCATACATATACAATATGATAACAATTTTTTAGCCAGTTTGTTATCCAGTCAAAAACAAATATGAAACTGTATAATACCAGCTTTGGTGAATTTTTATAAAGCGATTAAAAGATACATGTATCTTTTAATCGCTTGATAAAAATTCACGAAAGCTGGTATTATATAGTTTCATATTTGATTTTAGTTAATTATTGTTTTTCTATTTAAAATTATCTATCTACAAAACTTAGTAAAAATAAATAAAAAATTTAATTTTATCTACACTTAGTAATTAAGTTTGTGTATTCAACGAACCATTACATTCGACCTTTACGTCATTTTAATTGTAATAGTAAAAGTAATTACTTATTGCTGCTATTGAAATACATTTCAAAATTTGTTTCATTAAAAAAATATATATGGTTACCGCACAAGGAAACAAAGCCTTAGAAAACAGGCTTCTTGCAATCGAAACTAAATTATGAAAAAACAAGTTATACTTTCTTCCATAAAATAAGACAATCAACTAATCTTTCATTAAAGTTGCCAAAACTGTAAATCAATAAAAATAAAATAAATCGAGGAAACCATTCAAAGTTTTTGGGAGTAATATTTGATGAGAACCTATCATGGAAAAAACATATTAGTCTCATTGAAGCAAAAATATCTTCTGCTATAAGTGTATTATATAAATCTAGGGCCTTTCTTGATTATAAATCACGCAAAATGCTTTACTTCAGTCTTGTTCATTGTCATCTCTCCTACGCTAATATTATTTGGGCTAACACGCACAAAACTAAGTTATTAAGATTACAGAGCCTACAAAACCACGCATGTAAAGCCGTTAACTATTTAAAAAGATTAGAAAACCTTTCCCTGTAATGAAATACATGAATGTTTTCAATATATCAAAACTTAATTCGCTTCAAATATTAATAGTTATGTATAAATATAAGAATAACTTGTTGCCAAAAATGTTTTCTGATATTTTTACATCAGCATTTTCACAAAAATACAATCTTCGGTCAAATAACAACCATAACTATCACTTAAGCATAGTAAAATCGCAAGTGTCGAAATTCTCAATTATTAGTATTTATTTGTAAAGCACTTTCTCTTTTAAATGACAAATGAAACTGCATCTCTTTAATTTCTGACATATATATAAGTATGTTTGTATATGTGTGTTTTTTTATGGGTATATGTATATATGAGTATATATGTACATATGAGTTTTTCTTTATTCTTCCCGTAGTATTTAACAGATAAAATATTTGTTGTAAATTTTCTAAAGCAATGTGGGCTTTAAATGATATTGTAGAGGGGCTCTATAAAAAGATTGTGGTGACACCAGTCATCATTATCTTCTTTGAGCCCCTGTTTGTTTTATATATATTCTTTGTGTAATGTAGAAGTTTCATTGTAATTTTATTATTTTACTTTTATATAAACAGCGAAATATATTTAAAAAAAAAAGAAAAAACTAAATTAATCGAAGATGTTTCCAATCTCCTAATTCGAGTCCATATCCTAAAACCAACCTCACAGCAAATTTTGCTATCATCGCAAATGATAAAAAATCTTGATTCGAAGACTGAGATAAAAAACTGAAATGCTTCTTTGAAATTTTACGCCTCAGTTTTAAAAGAATCTTCTATAGAATCTCACAGAATGATAAATATGGTTGTTGCAGATTCTAAAGAAAGAATAAATCGCGCATCTAATATAATCGTTGTAGGCCTAATAAAATCTGTTACAAAAGACGACGAAGCTGTTGTCGCAGATTTTTTTAATGCATGTGGGGTAGTAAATTGGATTAAATCCGTCCAATGCTTACATACAAACAAAAAATTAGACAACAAAAACGCACTAGACTTAATAAAAGTATCGCTACAAAACGAAAATGCAAAAAATGAAGTGTTCAAGTTATGCAGTCGTCATAAAGCTATATCATTTGAAGGTATTTTTGTTTGTAAAGACAAAACACCAGTTTAGCAAACTGAATTCGCAGAGCTACGCAATAAGATAAAAGCGTTTAATGAAGAAATCCTTGACCAACCATTTTGTAATGTTATACACCGCAGAACTAGCTAAATCTGCTGCATCAACGTCACCGAGTCAACCATCCAACAAAGAAATGTTTTCGAATTTGTTAAAAAAGCACTTGGCAATTTCAAAAAGCAAAATAAAAACCCTTATCAAAATTGACACCCACTCATACTCTTACCTCCCACCTTAAAATCTATTTCCAGAATTCTAAAATGTGTTTATTTTAATGCAAGGTCATTAAACAACAAATTAGTAAACCTAAACAATCTACTCCAATACGGAAACCTGGACATCATCCTTATCACAGAGACTTGGCTCAACAATACCACTCCTGTTTTGTTACTGTTAAACGGCAACTGTTATAATTTATTCCGGCATGACCGTGACGGCAAAGGTGGTGGCTCACTAATCTTAGTACGCA